AGCTCTTCAGCTCAAGGCTAGCGCTCTACCACTTGAGCCACAGCACCACTTCCGGGTTTTTTCTTTTTGCTTATGTGGTGCTGAGGAATCAAACCCAGGGCCTTATGCATGCAAGGCAAGCACTCTACCACTGAGCCACCTTCCCAGGCCCTCAATTTATAATTTCTTAAATGATGGCACATAGTTCATGGTTTCACTTCTTTCCTTTTTGGTACATTGTGAGCTCTTTATCACAGTTCTTTGTACACAAAAATTCAGTAAGTAGCCAGGTATCAGTGGCTTACACCTATAATCCTACCTACTCGGAAAGCTGAGATCTGAGGACCATGGTTCAAAGCCAGCCTGGGCAAGAAAGTCCATAATACTCTAATCTTCAACTAACCACTCGAAAACTGAAAGTGGCACTATGGCTCAGAGTGGTAAAGCACTAGCCTTGAGCCAGGGACAGTGGCCAGGCCCTGAGTTCAAGACTCACAACTTGGGCTGGGAAGGTGACTCAGTGGTAAAGCGCTTGCCTTGCATGCCTGAGGCCCTGGGTTCCACTCCTCAGCACCACATAAGAAAAAAGAAAAAACCCAGAAGTGGTGCTGTGGCTCAAGTGGTAGAGCTGAAGAGCTGAGGGACAGCGCCCAGGCCCAGAGTTCAGGCCCCATGACCAGACCCCCCCCCAAAAAAACACAACCAACCAATCAACCAACCAACGAACAAAAAGAATTAAGTAGTAATACAAACTACATTTAATTGGTAAATATTGCATATTTGATACACTGAAAATACATTCAGCAATACAGGCAAATTTTAAAAATGGAAAGTAGTATACATGATTGTCCCCATCATACATGTCTATGTTTAAAATTGTTATTTTTTTTCAAATCATTTAAACCAAGATGAATTGCAGGAATGAAAGCCCAACATGAACACTAAAGAATATTTGCAATAAAGTCATTTGGTCTGATTTTCATGACTACAGATTTCAAAGAATACCACCATCCATGCCAAGTGTACCAGACAATCCCACTGTCAGTTTGGGCTGTGTAGGGGCCTTGGTAGTATATGCCATTCAGGTTTGCAGAGTGACACCTGGTGGGAAAAAAAGAGATAACACTCAGTATGAAAAGAAGAAGAGAGGAGAGGAGAGAGGAGGGGAAGGGAGTAGGGGAGAGGAGAAGAGAGGGAACGGGAGGGGAGGGGAGAAGAGGGGAGAGGAGAAGAGAAGTCTTTGCGAACTGTTCACTTTACTAGCAAATGACCAAAACTTGTAAACTATAACATTTGACATTTCTTAAACAAACGAATATGTTTCCCCAAACAGGGAAATTTCAAGAAACATAGTTTTTTATGTGTCATAATAAATCTGAAGATCCAATTGGGCCACTTGTAAAGTCTCTGGAAAAACATAAGCATTTCCATTCTCAAAAGCTTTTATTTTTGTATTTATTTATTTATTTGGGGCTAGTCCTAGGGCTTGAACTCAGGCCATGGGTGCCATCACTGAGCTCCATTGCTCAAGGCTTAGTGCTGTATCACTTGAGCCACAGCTCCACTTCTGGCTTTTGGGTGGTTAATTGGAGGTAAGAGTCTCATAGCCTTTCCTGCTCTAGGTGGCTTTGAACCGTGATCCTCAGAACTCAACCTCTGAGTAGCTAGGATTATAGGTGTAAGCCATTGGTTCCTGGCCCCGATTGCTTTTAAACGAAAAAGAAAGAGAAGCAAAGAAAAGGGACCTTGAGGCCTCCCGTCTTATATTCTCCTGATCAGAGCAGTGGCACCTTTGTGTCCTGAGTAGGAAAGCAGATGTGGGGCAAGGCCTCTGCTGCCACCTCTCTGGTTTATTTGCCCTCTGAGGTTCATCAGTGCTGCCAAGATGTGACTTCTGCAATTCAAACTACCTTCCTTCTTCCTCCTTCAAATCCCTAGCATATCCATTATGTCAATCTCAAAAGTTAAGCAAGCAAAGCCTAAACCATTAAAAATTTTCCTAACCATCAACTAACAATCTGTCTGAGTTGTTAATTTTTAACATACATTACACCAATCTGTAGGTTTATTAGGTTATCATAAAGTTCTTTAAATGATCCTCTTCCTGGTTTGAAGTCTGAACATGTATTTGTCTTTGGTATATATGTATTATAAGAAATGTGTGATTATTTTCTGTATTACATTATTGTGATACTATCATACATTTCTTTATTTAAGTGATTTAAAATGTCAAGACATTAGGGTATAAGAGGACTATTCACAAGGTAAAAATCTATAGGAACCCTCAAAATATTGAACCAAAAAAAGGACATAATTCAAGCCAGGCACTTGTGGCTGGCTCATGTCTATAATCCTAGCTGCTCAGGGACAGTGTCCAGGCCTGGAGTTCAAGCACAAGGCCTGGAGCACACCCACTCACACACACACACACACACACTACAAAAGCACATAATTCATCCATAAATGCAGAATGGCTGACTGAATCATTTAGCTTAGTAATTTGCTTTTTATTAACTATTCTGGAAGTCCTCCTAATTTAAATGGTGTCACTAACTGCAATCATTTAAGAACCTATTGTGTTTTTATTGTTTTGGTATGTCAGTCATGGGGCTTGAACTCTGGGCTTGGGCGCTGTCCCTCAGCTCTTCAGTGCTCTATCACTTGAGCCACAGTGCCACTTCCAGTTTTCTGAGTGGTTTATTGGAGATAAGAGTCTTATGGTCTTTCCTGCCCAGTCTGGCTTTGAATCATGATCCTCAGATCTCAGCCTCCTGAGTAGCTAGGATTACAGGTGTGAGCCACCAGTGCCCCGCTCCTATTGTGTTTTAAAATAACAGAAAGAAAGCCAGGCACTTGTACCTGTAATCCTAGATACAGGAGGCTGAGATCTGGGGACCATGGTTCTAAGCCAGCACGGGCAGCAAAGTCATGAGACTGTTATCTCCAATAAACCACCAGAAGACCGGAAGTAGTACTGTGGCTCAAGTGGAAGAGAGCTCACCTTGAGCTGAAGAGCTCGGGGACAGTGCCCAGGCCGAGTTCAAGCCCCGTGACTGACAAAATGAAACAACAGAAAGAGCCATCACCTGTGGCTCATCTGTAATCTTAGCTACTCAAGAGATTGAGATTTGAGGATTGAGATTCACAGCCAGCCAAGGCAGGAAAGTCTGTGAGACCTTTATCTCCAATTAACCAGCAAAAATCCACAAATGGAGCTGTGACTAAGTGAAAAAGCTAAGAGACAGTCCCCAGGGCTAAGGGACAACACCTAGACCTTGAGCTCAAGCTCCAGTATCAACACACACAGAGAAAAAAATGTATGTTGGGCCTTCAGAATCAATATTTTAGCTTTTTTTTTTTTTTTGGTCGGTTGTGGGGTTTGAACTCTGGGCCTGGGCGCTGTCCTTCAGCTCTTCAGCTCAAGGCGAGCGCTCTACCACTTGAGCTATGGCGCCACTTCCGGTTTTCTGGTGGTTTACTGGAGATAGGAGTCTCACGGTCTCTCCTGCCCGGGCTGGCTTTGAACCGCGATCCTCAGATCTCAGCCTCCTGAGTAGCTAGGATTACAGGCATGAGCCACCAGCACCCGGCTCTATTTTAGCATTTTTATATAGAGATGTCTACTACTTATACTTTTATATTTGGTTGTGATGTGAACTCTAATAGGAAACAGATTGTATGGTCACTTAGTGTTCTGAGACCACCAAAATTTCCAGCATTGTTCAGTTTCTAGAACAGCCTGGACATGGCATGCCATTGAGGAACAGTTTGTGCCTCTTTGGTAAAGAAGAAGCATGAAAAGACTCTAAGGCAGAGAAGACAGAAATGCTCTGTGCTTGATTTGTTAACTGAGGAATAATTATGGAGTGTTAACAATACATATAAACTAGAACTGCAGGACATGGAGAGCAAAGTAAAGAAGAAAATATATTGGGGCTGGGAAGGTAGCTCAGCGGTAGAGTGCATGCCTTGCATGCATGAGGCCCTGGGTTCGATTCCTCAGCACCACATAAACAGAAAAAGCCAGAAGTGGCGCTGTGGCTCCAGTGGTAGAGCGCTAGCCTTGAGATGAAGAGCTGAGGGACAGCGCCCAGACCTAGAGTTCAGGCCCCATGACCGGCAAAAAAAAGAAAAAAGAAAAAAAAAGAAGAAAATATATTGAGAATGATAGGTAAACTATAGTACTAGCATCGAGTAAGGTAGAAACACTGCTAACTTCCTGGAAAAAATCTACTTTCTCTTTGGCATGTTTGATTTTTGTAGGTGGCTCCTTTTCATTCTTCCTCCTGAATCCCCATCTTTATTGTCAAGCAAATCATTTACTTGCCTACATCAATATCTGTACCACTTTCTACTCAAGTGCAGCAAGCCAGTCAATTGGAACATGCTTTTGATCACATGGTGATAGTGGTGATTATTTCTGCATATGGGAATTCCGTTAAAAAATCAAACAGATTGATTTTGTAATTTTATTTTATTTGTGCTTTTACTGGGGCTTAAACTCAGAGCCAAGAAATCTTGCTTAGTTTGTTTTTCTCAAGGCTGATGCTCTACCACTTTCATCACACCTTCATTTCTGGCTTCTTGCTGGCTAATTGGAAATAAGAGTCTCTCAGAATTAGCTGGATGGCTTTGAACCTCTATCTTCAGATGTCAGCCTTCTGAGCAACTAGGATTACATGTATGAACCACCAGTGCCTGGCAAACTGATTGGTTTTTGTTGTTGTGGTTGTACTGGTCCCAGGGCTTGTACTCAGTGTCTAGGCACTGTCCCTGAGCTTTTTTGCTTAAGGCTAGGACTCTACCACTTGAGCTAGAGCTCTACTTCTGGCTTTTCTGGTAGTTAATTAGCAATAAGAGTTTCTTGGGCTTTCCTGCCTGGCTTGGCTTTGAACTATAATTCTCAGATCTCAGCCTCCTGAGTAGCTAGGATCATAGGCACAAGTGACTGGTACCCAACTCGGATTGATTTTTGATTGACTATTGATGGCTTTGTGAGTTATAGGTAAGTTTTAAATAATGCTAACTTTGAAGAACAAAGGAAAGAAAGAGGAGGATAAGGGAATGAGCACAAGGAAAGCCAACAGGGCAAAGATGATCACTTTTCATTTAGAAAGCTGGAAAAGAAATTTTGTTTCTCTGTCCTTTCTCTGTAAAGGAACTATATTCCTGTTCCTTTACAAGTAGCCAAACATTAAATTGACTCTAATTTAAAAACCAGAAAAAGTATTATTTATGGGTTGTGTCAACACTGAGCATACCACCAGCCCGTAACAGTAATTATTGTCATAATGAGGATTTTCATAACTTGAAGAAAAACTAACATATGTCTGGCATATTCCAATCAATAGCATAGAGAAGTTCTAAACTGCTTGGAAAGTACTTACGCTAAGAAAAAGTAAGTTAAGAGATGGATGGTGGAATTTAAATGAGTGGTTCTCAACTATATGGAAAATCTGACACCTCAGAAATACTCACCAAAGATTCCATAATGGAAAGTTTAAATGTCCAAGTGTTTTGGCATGGCTCCTGTCTTCTTATGAGAAAACGTTCAGAGCTCATGCACTGTCTAACAAGTGGAGCACATCTGCTTTGCAGACACAATAGGCTTACTAGATCACTTTTAAGAGAAGATTTTCTGCATGAAGTTTCCATTCCTTCCTGAGTTCTGTGATTATAATAAAAGGAGCTGTCTGGAACCCATCTAGGTTAAAGGAATCAGAGTTATTTGGCTAACAGAAGAGAAAATACTGAGGAATGCAATAAGTAGCCTCTCATTCAGTGCTTGAAGAATAATTTTGGAAAGAAATTACAATTACTCTATAGCCACTAAGAGAAAATCTGGCAATGCATAAGACTGTAGATTTCAAGTCCATAAAAGGAAGATCTTGCTGGGTGCTTAATGGCTTATACCAGTAATCTTGGCTACTCAGGAAACTAAGACCTGAGAATCACAGTTCAAAGCCAGCCCAAGCAAGAAAGCCTGTGAGACTAATCTCCAATCAACCAACAAAAAACTGGAAATGGATCTGTAAGTCAAGTGGTAGAGTGCTAGCCTTGAGCAAAAAGTTCAGGGACAACACCCAGGATCTGAGTTCAAGCCCCAGGACTGGTATAAAGAAAAATAAAATAAATAAGTAAATGAAAGAAATGGAAGAACTTTGTACAGCCCAAAATGGAATAAGCTTGCTATAAAGTAATAGTGAAATATTCAAAGTAAGTAGCCAAAAGTTCTGAATTGGGAGGTCTTGGATTCAGTGAATTAACAAAAGTCAGAATGAATGAAAAGAAGAATTGCACAGATAACAAAACAAAATGTAAACATGACAATAACAATGGCTAAGATAGAAGAAGGGGAAGCGCTAGTTGGTTTACAATAGGCCATGAATACTTTTCATGGGTAGATAGGCTATCTTTTTATATCAACTTTCTATTTATATATCATCCGTAATTCAGTTAGCAAATACTCTTTGTGAAACCACTAATTTGTTTCTATGGCACACCTTTCAAACTTCAGTAAATGCATATCATAAACAAAATATGTTTCACTGCTGAAGAATCCTAACAAGGGTAATTACTTAACTGACATTATATCATATATTATAATTAATGCCACAAGTGAAATATTACTAATGCTGTTACAAGATTATTATTATTTTTTTTTGCCAATTGTGGGGCTTGAACTCAGGGCCTGAGCACTGTCCCTAAGTTTCTTTTGCTCAAGGATAGCACTCTACCACTTGAACCACAGCGCCAATTCTGGCCTTTTCTGTTTGTGTGGCACTGAGGAATCAAATCCAGGACTTCATGCAAGCTCTCTACCACTAAGCCACATTCCCAGCCAAGAAGTATTTTTATAAAGCATCAAACCTGTTAAACCACCAGCCAGACTGATCTTCATCTGCACAATTTCCTTCATAATTATCGTTATCTCTGTCCCATGTGCTGAACTTCATTCTTTGGTGGCCAGCCCACCATTGCACCTCGGGGTGAAAATTTCCTGAGAGGGCATCTCCAGCTGTTCCAGAATATTCACCAATGTTCAACTCATAGGAATTCTAGGGGAAATGAGGTAAGTTTCACTATCAGTGACCATCATTTTACAAACAAGTTGTTTAATAAATGAAAACCAGGCTCTGTGTGTGTTGTAATTTCTTCTGACTTCAGAGTTATGGTGTGTATTTTCAGTATGAATTCATGAACATTTTAATACCTTTTCATCTCCAACCTGGAAATTTTTATATTGTGCATAACGGCTCTTTTTTTCAAAATCTTCAAGGTCAATTTTTAAAGTGTAGTCTCCTGAAGAAAAAAACAAAACAAAACAAGAAATGGTAGTTGCTAAAATGCATAAAAGGAAAGGAGGGAAGGAAGGAAGGAAACAGAGAGAGGAAAGGAAGAAAGGAAGGTGGGAGAAAGATATGTAATGTGCTTATTGATAAACTACATGTGTCTGGTTAGAGGGCTTGGAAGAATACATAGTACATGGTAAGAAAAGTAGGAAAGAGAGAGTTTGTGGAAATGAAGACTGAGAAACCTAAGCTTTACCTATTTGTTTAAGGCAATCATTTTTCTTCCCTTACTAAAACTTTGCTTTTAGGGCTGGGAAGGTGGCTCAGTGGTAGAGTGCTTGCCTTGCATGCCTGAGGCCCTGGGTTTGATTCCTCAGCACCACATAAGCAAAAAGAAAAAAGCCGGAAGTGGTGCTGTGGCTCAAGTGGTAGAGCGCTAGCATTGAGTTGAAGAGCTGAGGGACAGCGCCCAGGCCCAGAGTTCAGGCCCCACGACCAGACCCCCCCAAAAATAATAATAAAATAAAACTGCTTTTAAAATTGAGATTTTAGCCTGGCACTGGTGGCTCATGCCTGTAATCCTAACTACTCAGGAGGCTGAGATCTAAGGATCACAGTTTGAAGCCAGCTCAGACAAGAAAGTCCGTGAGACACTTATCTCCAACTAATCACAGAAAAAGCTGAGAGTATTGTGGTAGCTCAAGTAGTAGAGCCCTAGCCTTGAGCAAAAGGAGTCCAGGGACAGCACTCAGGCCCAGAGTTCAAGCCCCAGGATGGGGGGAAAAATTGAGATTGTATTCAATATGAGTCTGAGTCTCTCTCTTCTTCCCTCCCTCTCTTTTGCTCTTTCTCTGTCTCTCCTTCCCATTTCCTCTTTCTTGCATATAAGCTTGTGAATGCACAGGAGACCAGGGGTCTGGAACCTTGAGTTGAGTCTGGGAATAGGACAGAATTATATGTAATGAGGTTGAGTGACATCTTGCTATAAATCTTTATGCACTTTCAAATTTTAAACAAATTTAATGGTAAAACGTGGCCTACAAGCAAGAATGTTAAAAGATGTGTATGTGTGTGTGCATGTGCAATTTAAGGTATAAAATGAGCATCCTGTATTTTGCACAGATACATGGGAATATCCCATTGAAAACTCCTTATACAATTAGTGTATGTTAGGAAATATTAATAAAATGCATGATGTGTCATTGACTATTAACGTTTACAAATAATTTACAACTGGGCACCAGTGGCTCATGCCTGTAATCCTAGCTACGCAGGAGGCTGAGATCTGAGGATCATAGTTTGAAGCCAGCTCAGACACGAAAGTCTGTGAGACTCTTATCTCTAATTACCAAAAAGCCAGAAGAAGCTGTGGCTCAGGGGTAGCTTAGACCCTGAGTTCAAGCCTCAATATGGAAAAAAAAATTTCTAATGAAAGGATAGACTTCTAAAGAATCCTAATAGTTTTCTTAATCCAAATAATAGTAATAATAATAATCTTGATCTCAAAAATAAGTACTAATTTATTTATGTCATTTTTTTGGTGATATGTAGTCTCTAGTATTCAAGTTAGTATATATCATAATATCAACACTGTTGCCTACAAGTGAATGTACTGTTATTTTTTTTCCTGGGACTATAAAAGATCAGCTAGCAAAATCTTTAAAACAACTCCAAGAAGATATAGGAATTTTGCTTCATTATCTGAAAACCTTCCTTTGATACTGGCTCATGAGATCAAGATAATGTTAGCATTAAATCGTGTGAAATGGATGACATTGGAAAAGATTGCCAGAGATTGTAGAGGAATTTTGTACAAACATTCTTGGTGGCACAAATAGGGATGACTATTAGAAAATACGATCAACAAACCTAAGTCAAAAGATGTTTCTGAAGAGTTGATATCTGAATGTGAAAGCAGTTTTAGCATACTTAATCATTGATATGCATATATTTGTATTTATGTATGCTAAACACTAATACATGAGAGTTGGGCACTGGTGGATCACGCTTATAATCTTAGCCACTTGGGAGACTGAAAACAAGAAGAGAACAGTTTGAGGCCAATACAGGCAGAGACGTTTAAGAGATCTTTTCTTCACTCATAGCTGGACACAGTAGCATATGCTTCTTATTCTACACTACCCAGAAGGCTAAGAATAGGAACAAAAGTTCCCCTCAATGGAAGGCAGCTGAATGTGGTGGCTCACAGCTCATACCTATCATCTCAGTTATATCAGTAAGTCTAAAATAGGCAGGTACATGCTCAGGCAGGAAGCCAGACCCTAGCTCAGAAAATAACAAGTACACAATAGGGCTAGAGGTGTGGCTTAAGTGGAAGTGTTCCTGTCTAGCAAGGGTGTGCCCAGAATTCAGATTCTGGCACCAACAGTAATAATCATAATCATAATAGATGAAATGCATTAAATCTGAGCTGTTTATGTGACTTGCTCTTTACTAGTAGAAGGAAAAAAAATGACTCTGTGCCTGTTCTAAGCCTAGACCTCAAGAGATTTATGTGCTTCACTTTCTTACTGAAGCCCTGACTCTGATAAAGGGCAAGTCCAGTCTAGCAAGCTAGGAAGTGAGGCCATATGGAACAGCACTAAATAGGTTAATCTGAGGCCAACTCAGAACAGCCAGCCTCCCTCTGACCAGGATGCTGGCACGGAGTAGTGAGCAAGGCTAGCCAAAACCAGCAGAGCCCTGCCCTGATCAGCAAAACCACTCAGCTATTCTGTAGATTTATGAGAAGCAATCAATAGTGGTTATTTTGATGTCACTTTATTTCAAATGGGCTTGTTAACACCATATTATTGTCACCGTAGATAACTGATATACGATATGTCATTTTCATTCATTTAAAATTATTGAGAATGATCATGACATTAAATTTCCCTTTAAGAAATAGAAAATATGCCAGGCATTGGTGGATCATGCCTATAATCCTAACTACTCAGAAGCCTAAGATTTAAGTATCCAGTTCAAAGCTAGCCCAGGCAGGAAAGTCCATGGAATTCATATCTTCAATTAACCACCAAAAAGCTAGAAGCAGAGCTGTGGCTCAGTAGTAGAGCCCTAGCCTTGAATGAAAACGCAAAGGGCCAGCAGTCAAACCCCATTATACACATACAGAGAGAGGGGGGCAGGGGAGAAATAGAAAATATATATGAGCAAACAATCCTTTTCCTATCCAGTTTCAGTTTCTTTTTATTCTCCTTCTTAGTTTTAAGTAGCCACATTATACAAAAGGAAATTTTGCTAAACAGGTATTTACACCATCTGCAAATCATGATGGTTATTGAATTAGTTCCATTGTCTGAATTCATGGATGGCATTTAGGTTTGTTTCTTTTGTATTTCAAATGAACTTGACATCAGACAACACGTACCTTGTATTGTCAGTAGGTGAAGATTTTTATTACCCAGCCAATATTCACCATTTCTTCGGACAAAATTTCCAAAGCCATTTTCATAATCACTCCAGCCTCTAAGAAATTTTAAAACAAAGGATAATTTCAGCCAAAGTTAGTGTTAGCAAAATTGGAATAAACACCTGTAGAACCCAAGCTGCATTCTCTACCCCCAACCTCCAATGTTTTCTTAGTTCACTCCCAGTGAACTAAGTACTTTTTTGTTGTTGTTGGTTGTGGGGCTTGAACTCAGGGGCTAGACACTGTCCCTGAGCACTTTTGCTCAATGTTAGTGCTCTACCATCTTGAGTCCCAATGCCACATACAGTTTTCTGGTGGTTTATTGGAGATAAAAGTCTCATGGGCTCTCCTGCTCAGGCTGCAATCCTCAGAGCTCAGCCTTCTGAGCCGCTAGGATTACAGTTGTGAGCCACCATCGCTCAGCCCAGTAGTCTTACTTAGAGAACAAAAAATAAAGTCTGTCCAACTAATGAACTTCAGATATGATAAGAAGGTTTAACTTATAATTCTCACATATAGGACTGGGAATGTGGCTTAGTGGTAGAGTGTTTTCCTAACATGCATGGGTTTGATTCCTCAGTACCACATATACAGAAAAAGCCAGAAGTGGCGCTGTGGCTCAAAGGGTAGAGCACTAGCCCTGAGCAAAAGAAGCTCAGAGACAATGCTTAGGCCCTGAGTTCAAGCCCCAAGTCTGGCAAAAAAAAAAAGAAAAAAGTCTTACATTTATTACTCCAAATAAAGTCTAGTGACTAACACACCTGTTGAAGTTCTCGCTGCCATCAGACCGTCTCTGAATTACAGTCCATCCTCCTCCATCAGACATATCACAATAAACAGAGAATTCTGCTGAGCTCCGAAGGGGTTTGATCTTGTAAAATCCACTGTTCTTAAATCCATCATTGAAAATCTCTGAACAATCTGTTGGTGAAACAATGTAAAACTTTATTATGAAAAGTTTTAAGAAAAGACTTATTGTAAATAAAAGTCTTATTTCCTCTCCCAGGATTTGTCATCTGACTCTGTGGTATGACCAGGAGAACAAAATGAATGAAATAGTGATCATTGTCTTATTTTTGCATTTCATAAAAAGCAATTTAAAAACCAAATTACTTATATTCAGTTAAATATGGTATATTAAGAGAAACGTGTAGCTTTATTAGACAACATAGTGGAATTTATCTCTCTTATAAATCTAAAACTGAAAGTCAAAATGGAACACCAAACAAATAATTTAGTATTGGTTATCTTGACTTAAGAGTCCTATAAATCATATTGTTTTCAGTTCCTTCCCCCATTCCCCGAATTCCATTTTTCATTTGTCAGTTTTTGTTTTAAGTTCTTATAACCTGTCAGTTTTACCAGATATTTCATTTTTACTGGCCCACTGAAATGGCTAACAGTCCACACATTTGTGAATATTTTTGTTAGAAACTACAAGCCTCTGCTATTTCTTTCATCATTGTATTCTTCTTTGCCAGGGTATTTCTTTGGTCTTTGAAATAAAACAGTTATCAGTTTGTCACCAAAAAGTAATATTAGTTCTTATGCTACTTGAGGGTAGGAAAATTAACAAGGCATTCAAGATTGATCTGTGCACATTTAAGGATTATGGCTAAGCATTATTTAGAAAACCAGGAGGCCATGTTGTAGGGTGACTGAACTAGTGGGCAGTATAAAAAGGTAGTCTCAAGAATAACCAGCCAGGGGCTGGGAAGGTGGCTCAGTGGTAGAGTGCTTGCCTTGCATGCATGAGGCCCTGGGTTCAATTCCTCAGCACCACATAAGCAAACAGCAAAAAGCCGGAAGTGGTGCTATGGCTCAAGTGGTAGAGTGCTAACCTTGAGCTGAAGAGCAGAGGGACAGCGCCCAGGCCCAGAGTTCAGGCCCCATGACCGGACCCCCCCCAAAAAAAATGTTAAACCAGCCAGAGATTTTTTTCCCCCCATTCTGGGCTTGAACTCAGGGCTTGGGTGCTGTCCCTGAGCTTCTTTGTGCTCATGGATAGTACTCTACCACTTGAACCACTTCTGGCTTTTTCTGAGTAGTTTACTGGAGATAAAAGTCTCACAGACTTTCTTGCATTGGGCTGGCTTCAAACAGCAATCCTCAGATCTCAGTCTCCTGAGTAGCTAGGCTCCAGCCATAGATTTTAAGCAAAAACGCTTTAACATATCTTTCACATTTTTACTCTAATCACTTGTTGTTGTTGTTTTACTTGTCGGTCGTGGGGCTTGAACTCTGAGCGTGGGTGCTGTGCTGTCCCTCAGCTCTTCAGCTCAAGGCTATCACTGTATCACTTGAGCCACAGCGCCACCTCCGGTTTTCTGGTGGTTAATTGGAGATAAGAGTCTCACTGACTTTCCTGCCTGGGCTGGCTTTGAGCTGAGATATCCTCAGATCTCAGCCTCCTGAGTAGCTAGGATTACAGGCATGAGCCACCAGCACCCAGCCACTCTAATCATTTTTATCAATTTCTTTTTAAAAAATCCCCAAATTAAATTATTTTAGTCTTATGGTGTGTTTTTAAATTCCTTCTTCCTTCCTATTCATTGCTTTCATGTCAAATTTTTCTTTTCTTTTTTTTTCTTTTTCTTTTTTTGGGGGTCCAGTCGTGGGGCCTGAACTCTGGGCCTGGGCGCTGTCCCTCAGCTCTTCAGCTCAAGGTTAGCATTCTACCATTTGAGCCACAGCGCCACTTCCGGCTTTTTTTTTCTTTTTGCTTATGTGGTGCTGAGAAATGGAACCCAGGTCCTCATGCATGCAAGGCAAGTGCTCTACCACTGAGCCACCTTCCCAGCCCTCATGTCAGATTTTTCTAGAACTGGCTTTTGTTGTTGCTATTACAGAAGGAAATAGACTGCATGTTAAAAAAAAAATGAACGGGCAACAGGAATAAAAAAAAAAAAAGACAAAGAACTTTATTCGTTTTCCAATGCCCTCACAAGACTAAGATCAATCCTATATTACTCTGGTAAGATGTTCATCTTTGTAAGAATTTAGGGTTGATTCATGTATTTATTTTCAGAGGTCAAAAGCATAATGCTTTTTATAGATGCTGGATTAAAAAATGGACCCTCTTTGAGAACTATGCAAGAAGAAAAGCAGGGGAAAAAAGAAAAAAATAATTTCAGGAAGCTAGCTCAATGTTATTAAAAAGCTGAAATCTTATAGCTAAACATTAACACTTTCATTAAAGTAAGCACCTTTTACCTCACTTAGAAAAAGGAACTCTTTTTTATTCTAATATTCACTCTCCAACCAATGAACTAAATAACAAAGACTCACTAAGTTTACACTCTTTTCCAGGCAAAAATGAAAATAATTAGCTATACCATTTGCCTTTGGAAAACTTCATGAATATAGGGATTTCTGCCAACATTTAGTATTTGTTTTTATTTTATGCCATCTGTGAGTTTGTTTGTTATTTCATTTTTCCTTCTCCTCAGGGAAAAAAAAGCCAGACACCACAGAAAAGTGACTGATTCCATGTTTGTTACAGTGAAAGTACAAGGACAACCTGGATTATCTGGTAACAATGTAAAGGATTGCTGTAAAGTAGAGTAAACATTTCAAAAGCAGAGAACTATTTTAATATCCACAAGAAAAGTTCAATGAAGAAAAGCCACACTCAAGCAAACAAGAGAAAACCAAAAGCACCAACACATAAATACAAAGCAGAAAAGCACAAAACAAACTGGGTTCGGTGGTGCAGATCTGTCATCCTAATAATTGGGAGATAGAGACAGCAGGATATTGAGTTCCAGACTAGCCTGGGCTACATAGTGAGAACCTGTCTCAAAAGCAAAGCAAAATAAAATGGGGCTAGAAGGTGGCTCAAACTGTAGAGCACCTACCTTGTAAGTAGAAGTCCTGAGTCTAATCCTCAGGGCCCAAGATTGTATACATCGCCCCCCCCCCAAAAGCAAAACACACTAGTATTTTTGCTGCCTGTTTGATTAATATAGAGTTTAAAAATATTGAGCTGGGTGCCAGAGTGACTAACGCCAGTAATCTTAGCTCTTTAGGAGGCTGAGATCTGAGCATCGCAGGCAGAAAAGTCCATGCGAAGACTCTTATCTCCAATTAACCACTTGAAGAATAAAAGTGGTAGTGTGGGAAGTGGCGTTGTAGCTCAAGCAGTAGAGCGCTAGCCTTGAGCTGAAGAGCTGAGGGACAGCGCTTAGGCCCAGAGTTCAAGCCCCACGACAGACAAAACAAAACAAAAAACAAAACAAAAGTGGTAGTGTGCTAGCCTTGAGAGGAAAAAGCTCAGGGACAGCACCCAGGCCCTGACTTCAAGCTCTATGACTGAGAAAAAAAAATTACCTATATATTTAAAACTGTGATTTTCAAAATGTTGTGATCCACTCAACACCCCCCCCCCTTGAATAGGTGGGAGAAGGGCAAAGTTAGAAGAATTCTATATTTATGACACTATTAAAATTCAAGTACAGGTTTTTGGATATTTACATAATACTAGAATGAAGCCAGGGAATTCTGCCTTCTGTGACAAAATGCTGCATTAAACTGTGTGATGTGAATAGTTCTTGTGATCATGCAGAAAGCAAACAATGTTGGAAGGCTAAACGTTTAAGCCTCACAAAGAGGCACGCCAGCCTACTAAAAAGACTTTTTCTATTTTCTCTGAATGGTGGCTGAAGCTCAAAGTTGAGAACCAAAGGGAGACACTAAGTACCCTATACTTATTTTGTTTGTCTTTGGGACAGGGTCTCACTATGTAGCACAGACTAGCCTTGAGCTCACGACCCTCTTAGCCTCCTGAGCACATGCCTTCCTGTGCTTGGCACAGAAACATTCTTCATTTAAAAAAGAAAGCCAACAGAGCAGCTGCCATTTCACAGAGGATGTTGGAACATGCTAGAACCACAGTCATCATCCACCCACCCCATGCAATTTAAGAAAGCTAGGGGAAGAAAGGAAGTATGTTATTTGGCAATAGCATTATTCTTTGAGATGGAGGGAGTGACTTTTTTGGGATAATCTTTCCTGCTAGGGTCATTTGGCACATGATGTTAGCTGGTATTGATGTTTATGTGACCATGACAAAAGTTCCTAGACTTACTGAATTTTGATTTCTGTCTCGGCTAGGCCAGAGCAAATGCTTTCTGAAGCTTCATTTCTGTGTCTGAAACAAGGGAGAGAAGACCTGGTCATGCCCTAGATAATGGACATTTACTGACTACTTCTTTGGAGTTAAAAGATATCTCATTAGACCCTCACAACAAATGCTTCTGTTCCATTTTACTAATAAGGACTGTAAGACACATAAGTGTTAATGAATGTACGAGAGACCACAACTAGCAAGATAAGCAATGGGACTTTGAAACCAGACTTCCAAGTCTACACCCTAACCTGTCTCATCCTGCCTCAAGAGGCTGCCATGAGGTCTGAAGTCACAGCACAACCATCAGTCTTGGTTGGCTGAACAGATGTGATGCCAGATGGTTGAGATTTATCACCAATGGATGGGAATTTGGCACAGGAATCTTTTAATTCATAACCCAATCACACCTAAGGATCTAAAAAGTATCATTTAGTATCTGGGAAGGTGGTTCATGCCTTGCATGTATGAGGCCCTCAGTTCCATTCCTCAGCACCACATAAGCAGAAAAAGCTGGAAGTGGCACTGTGGCTCAAGTGGTAGAGCACTAGCCTTGAGCTGAAGAGCTGAGGGACAGTGCCCAGGCCCAGAGTGCAGGCCCACGACTGACAAAAAAAAAAAGATACCATTTAATTATACAGGATTTTTACATAACGTATAATAATAGTATGTATTGTTTATACAAATTGCTAGGTTGTATGTAATTAGATATTTGTTACCATGCAACAAATTACATTTCAACAAATAACTAATTTAGTCAAAATATAGCAACTTGTAAATGAAAACGAGGGAATTTATATCTACACAGATACTATGTGTTGTTTTTTTTTCAATTCAAGCTTCATAAACATAAACATGTGAACAGGATCTTATATTTTATATATTATTTCATAGTATATATACCACATGCTCAACAAAGGGTCTGGAGTTTTAGGTTCTAAGCCTTATTTTATGATGATTAGTTACACAGTCCTAGTGACAAATATCATATTGTCTGCTTCCTACCATTACCTAACCCATTAAATTGGTGTTTGATTGTCCTATCATAATATAACCATCAGCTGACCATAGATTTAAGTAACATGTGGGCCTTTACTCAGATGCTAAAAATACAAGGATTTTTTTTTTCTCTTACAAGTCTGGACCTTATTCAAATTTATTAACAAATTCTAAGAGCTAAAAATCCTTACAGTCTAACACCTAGACAAAACAGGAGTTAAATATTTAGAACTAGAAAAGGTAATGTATCTTTAAATCTACAAGCACCTCTCAGAATTACTGCTTTGTGCGTGTGTGTGTGTGTGTGTGTGTGTGTGTGTGTGTGTGTGTATTTTGGGGCTTGAACTTAGGGCCCAGGGGACTGTCCTTTGTGGGTTTTTTTTTTTTTTTTGGTCAAGCCCAGCATTCCACCATTTGACCCATTGCTGCTTTCCACTTTTTGGTAGTTAGAGATAAGAGTCTCACCTACTCTCCTGCTGTCTTTGAACCTGGAACCTCAGATCTCAGCCACTAGAGTATAGGTATGGGTGCCCAGTTTGCTTCATTTTTCCTGAGTAGATTCCTGTCTCAACTATAATCAAGCCCCCAAATTTCAACCATGTAGAACTACTGCCACAGGAACCATGTTTTATCTGAAAGAAGGAAAGTCTTCTTCACCTGCATTCTTAGTTCATGGGAAGAAATTTGGTGAAACCTGGTTCTGGTCTTGACTGTTCTCATCCACACCCAACAGTAAAAACACAAATCATCTTGTTCTGTAAGGAGGTACATTTAATTGGCCTGGAGTGGGACTGAGGCATAGTTGATAGATAATTCTCTACATGTCTGGCCAGCAGAGTTTACGTGCTGAACTATCTTTAAAATGATATTTGTATAATAATCAGCATTGGAAAATAGAGTTAGTGTCTCTTTTTGAAAATGACAGTAGTTTTATTTTCTGCTCATTCAAAATAAAACAATATCTCCCTCTGTGGCAAAGACTGGGTATCTTTGCTTGTAACCCATTATAAAATATTGGGTGGAGACGAGAGGGAGGGAAGGGAACAGAAGACAATGTATGAAAGAAAATGTACTCATTACCTGACTCATGTAATTGTCACCCCTCTGTACCTCACCTCTATAATAACAATAAAGTAAATTAAGAATAAAAATTATGGTTCCCTAAACTTAACACTGCCAGCTGTAATGCGGCCCAATGTCTGCCAAGCTGGGCTCTTGGTATTTGAGAACAAGGGACATTGCTACAACCCAAAAGCTCATGTCTCTCATTCAGGAGTCCATATCTTCTGCTAGAATCCTTGCAGAATAACTCATTAGCTTCCAAACAGAAAAAAATCTCAACCCTTCATAGTTCTTGTTGGGCATCAACATTGTAAAAAGTCCCTGTGTGCTTCTCATGAGTAGCCTTGGCCTAGAATCACTGTCTCCAAGAGTATTTACTGACCCTGCTTTCTTTTAGATTGAAGTTCTTACCTGTCTTTCACAGCATTGCCTAATCTCCACAGGAATTCTCTTCCTAGGTTCCAATTCCTGTTTCTTTGTCCATCTTCTCCCTATCGCTACTGCTTCAGACAGAACATTCCCTTTATGTTCCCCAGGCTGTCTTTGTTACCCCCCTGGCTCCTTTTTGTTCTTTGTGTCCAGACCTACAGCTATCCTTGCTCTGTATTCATTGGTTCTACCACAGGCCAGAGGCTCTGGCTTCCTTCTGATCCATAAAGATGAGCAGGGGTAACATTCAGATGCTAAGGATCAAGGTGCTGGGCAACAGAGGTTTTAGAACTCAGGAAAAAGGGTTTTAGCAGAAAGAGATTAAGATCATGGTAAAGAAAGACAAGGAAGAATTTTGGTGAAGCTATCATTCTGTAGTTCCCAAAATTCTTATATCATACACTAGTGTGATCAGAAGCACAAAATATATTTTATTCCTATAAGCTTGACATCGAAAATCTTTTAATTATAGTCAGATGTTTTCCAAGTTGTATTTGCTCTCGTTGTTTTTCCTATTTCTATGCGTTATCTTACTTTCATCCATAAGTATAAGGGTCTACTATTTTTTTTAAATATGCTGATGGTTAATAAGGAGGGAAAGTAAATAAAATAAAACCTCAAACCTCATATACTGCCTAGATAATTGACCACAAGATACATTCATAAACAGAGCAATTACAACATGTTATGATAGTGCAGGAATAGACATATAAACAATGTGCTCTAGATAGCATTCCCTTTGTCTCCAACAGTGACTTTGCTCTAAAAGAAGCTTGTTACATATCTGGAAAAAGTCAAGTGGATGTCTTACATGGAAAATAATGACGTATGCATTGATGAGTATAATATATTAACAATTCAAAATCATTTCATTTCTACGAGGGAAATACTGGCTTAATCAAAAGGAAAATAATTAAACCATAAAATAATCACATCAACAAGTTACTCTCTTATGTTCTAACAAGTGTGGTTTTCCTTTCTTGATCTCTTTTTGTACAGTATTCACATATTTCCACCTAGGATATGTTAGAGTTTCAGAAGGGAAAACTGGGTATAGTGGGGTGCATCTGTAGTCTCAGCTAAAGTAAGGCAGAGATAGAGGCTTTCTTGAGTCCAAGAGTTCAAAACCAGGCTGAATAATATAAGAAGACATCACTGGAAGAAACATGAAAACAAAACAGAGAAGATAAAAATCTTACAAATATAACACACAAAGGTAAAGTTCACATATAAAAATTCACAATTATCATTGGGTACAATCAAAGTTTAAAAATCTATTCGCTGAACTGCAAAGGTGGCTCAATGGTAGAGTGCTTGCCTTGCATGCATGAGGACCTGGGTTCCATTCCTCAGCACCACATAAGCAGAAAAAGCCAGAAGTGGCGCTATGGCCCAAGTGGTAGAGCGCTAGCCTTAAGCTGAGGAGCTGAGGGACAGCACCCAGGCCCAGAGTTCAGGCCCCACTGACCGACAAAAACAACCCCCAAACCTATTGTGCTGATTTCTTATGGAACTATAGAAATTCTCACATATTTAGCATTCATAGTAAACATTTCCTGTACTTAATACTTAAACATGTAACCTAAGGTAGAAGGTATTTAAAATTGACACAATGTCTTATGTTGCTTCTGACTAGAACAGAAAAAGGAGTCTTGGCAAGACTTTCCTGTAATTGCAGTGTTCAGAAGGCTGAGGCAGGAAGATTGTGAATTCAAGGACAGCCCCAGTTACACAGTGAAACCTTTGTCTCAGAACAAACAAAAAAGGACTGATTCAAATACCCACTACCATAATTGAATATGTATCTGTGTGGCAGGTTATTGAAGCACTTAAAGAGAATCACTTCTGACCTGCATATTGCCTCTTGCCTCCAATGTCAATGATGTTAGTCTCCTGTCCTTTATCAAGGAACTGGACTTCCTTCTCATGCAAAAGCTGCCCAATTGTGACTTGCTGCAGTTTGACTCGGGTTTCCAGTTGGTGTACCTGGGATCTGAGCCGTGCCAGCTCCTGGGAACAATTTTCCAGAGCCTGCAAAGCAATGAACATCTCATTTTCATGGGAAATAAAAGCTGCTAATAATATCAATAAATCAACGATTGCATTTTGTCTCCAACTGACCTATTGCAGAATATTATCCCAGCCAGAAAGTGGCTTGAAATGTTCTCATACTATTTACTATTTGAAGAATAAGGCTCACGCCTGTAATCCTAGCTACTCAGGAGGCCGAGAGCTGAAGATTGCCGTTCAAAGCCAGCCCAGGCAGGAAAGACTGTGAAACTCTTATCTCCAATAAACCACCAGAAAACTGGAAGTGGAGAGCTCTGGCTCAAGTGGTAGAGCACTAACCTTGAGCTGAAGAATTGAGATTCGGTGCCCAGGCCCAGAGTTCAAGCCCTATAACTAACATACACACAAAAAAAGAATAAAATAATAATCAGAATGGCTCTGGTAAGAACTTTATAGTTGTATTTTCATAATACAACTTAATGAGCTCAATCTTGAGAAGAAGAGTTGCTTTTGAATGTCTGGAAGATAAGCGGAAACTGGCCTCATCCCAGTTCATGAAGCCTACCTCAATCTCTGCATATCACCTCTGTGTATTCCAAACAGCAAAGGATTTTGTAGAAACGAATTGTATCATCAGTATGTCAAGCCCCTAAATAATTGAGTTGATTTGTTTTTTCTTTTGCCAGCTGTAGGACTTGAACTCAGGGCCTGGGCACTGTCCGTGAGCTCTTCTTACTCAAAGCTAGTGCTCTACCTCTTTGAGGCACAGCACCATTGCCAGTTTTCTGATGGTAATTGGAGATGATAATCTCATAGACTTTCCTGCCCAGGATGGCTTTGAACCATAATTCTCAGATCTCAGGCTCCTGAGTAGCTGAGATTATAGGCATGAGCCACCAGTGCCTACCAATAAATGAGTTTGCTTTTGTAGCATTTGTATTTGTATTTGTAGTATTTGTAGTTCTTAAAATGTAATTTAAACTTTATGCTGTGTTTATAAGGGAAACTATGTTTGTAAGGGGCACTCATATCCTCCAGTATCTCACATATTTAGCTGTTGTTGGAACTCTACTGAATTTGCTTTAATACTTTGTTTTTCCTTCCTTCCTTCCTTCCTTCCTTCCTTCCTTCCTTCCTTCTTTCCTTCCTTCCTTCCTTCCTTTCTTGTTGGTTGTGGGGACTGAACTCAGCTTAGGTGATGTCTCTCAGCTCTTCAGCTCAAGGCTAGCCCTCTACCACTTGAGCCACAGCGTCACTTCTGGCTTTTTCTGTTTATGTGGTGCTGAAGAATTTAACCCAGGGCCTCATGCATGCATGGCCAGCACTCTACCACTGATCTACATTCCCAGCCCCATCATTCAGTTTATTATATCATTAATCTCTCGCTTCTCTCTTTCTCTCTCTTTTTTTTTTTTTTTTTTAAATTTTTTTTGGGGTCCGGTCGTGGAGCCTGAACTCTGGGCCTGGGCGCTGTCCCTCAGCTCTTCAGCTCAAGGCTAGCGCTCTACCACTTGAGCCACAGCGCCATTTCCGGCTTTTTTCTTTTTGCTTATGTGGTGCTGAGGAATCGAACCCAGGGCCTCAGGCATGCAAGGCAAGCGCTCTACCACTGAGCCACCTTCCCAGCCCATTTCTCTCTCTTTTTTTCTCTCTCTCTTTCTCTATCTCTGTTTCAGTCCTGGATCTTGAACTTAGGGCCTAGTCATTGTCCCTGAGCTTTTTTGCTCAATGCTAGCGCTCGACCACTTGAGTCACAGCTCTACTTTGCACTTTTGGTGGTTAAATGGATATAAGAATCTCACAGACTTTCCCCATGTTGGCTTTGAACTGTCATCCTTAAGTCTTAGCTGTCTTAATAGCTAGAATTATGGACATGAGTCACCAACATTGCATGTGAAAGAGTCTAAGCTCATTTCTAATGTGGTATCTGACTGAACAAAGCTCTCCAAAATAAAAGCAAATTTGGTAGATGAACGGTGGAGAATTGCACAGATATTAGGAGTAGCTATTGAGGCCGGGATGCTGCTTTAAAGATTCTTGCTTGTGCTGAATTTGAGGAGAGCCCTTAGGAGTAGCAAAAGGGGCTTCAAGACAAATTTTGTCAGTGCTTTGTGTATCTTTAAAAAAAATTGGGGGGGGGGGTCCAGTCGTGGGGCCTGAACTCTGGGCCTGGGCGCTGTCCCTCAGCTCTTCAGCTCAAGGCTAGCGCTCTACCACTTGAGCCACAGCACCACTTCCGGCTTTTTTTTCTTTTTGCTTATGTGATGCTGAGGAATGGAACCCAGGGCCTCATGCATGCAAGGCTAGCGCTCTACCACTGAGCCACCTTCCCAGCCTCTTTAAAATTTTTAATAAGTTTTTATTTATTGTGAAAATACCATACAGAGGGGTTACAATTCCATAAGCAAGGTAATAAGCACATTTCTTATCAAGCATTGTTGCCGCCTCCTTTGTTTTTCCCCTACCATCCCTGCCCGCCCATCTCTAGGACTACACCTCCCCCCCTTTTGTATATTTTAGGTATCTAATTTAAGGTAAAGCAAATAATTCAGATAATAAATTTCAGGATGACAAAAACTGAAAACTAAAAGTCAGAAGACAATGTATGAAAGGAAATATACTAATTATTTGACTCATGTAATTGTAATTGCTCTGTATATCATCTCTATATTAATAGTAAATTATTAATATTTTTTAAACCCCTAAAACTAAAAGTCAGTTATGAGTACCACCAGGGTTCAAACCTATAATCCTAGCTACTCAGGAGGTTGAGATCTGAGGGCAGTAGTTTGAAGCCACCCCAGACAAGAAATTCCAAAAGACTCTTGTCTCCAATTAACCACCAAAGAGCCAAAAGTGGAGCTGTAGTTCAATGGTAGAGCACCAGCCTTGAGTGAAAAAGTTAAGGGACAACACCCAGATCCTGCAGTCAAGTACCAAAACAAACAAACAAAAAACAAACTCCAAAAGCAATAAAAACCCTGAAAGTCACCTAACAATGGAACAGCTATAATAAAGGCTTCTCTTCATACCAAGCTCCAGTCACTGAATCCCATTTCCCCAGGATTTTTTCTTCTTTTCTCCTTCAGCCTTTCATTTATCCTGAGAGGGTGGTTAGCTTAGCCTCCTTAGGTCAAATAGTGTACAAAATGGACAATAAGAGCAGTTAGGGTGTCTAGATCCTGTGTTGCTTTGCAATAGTGGGGAAATTGATTATGAGAATGTTAGACACAATGCACTGTGCAATTTAAAAATAACTGAAGGAATTACAGGCCAAGTATGTGCAATCTTTGTGAAACTGCAGAAACTTATTTTAAATGTAGGATTTTTCTTTTTTTTTTTTTCTTCCAGAACTCTGAGTAAGTATTTTGTCCTTTCTGACTCATAATTGACATAGTTCATTGTGACTAATTTAAAATAATCTGGGTAATTTATACCAATAGTGTCCAGTATTAGTAAGCCCAATGCAAATTATAAATATTATGATCAATTTAAAATTCTTGAGATTATAGTAACAAGGAAATAAGTCAGTGAATTTTTAAATATTGTACTCATTTGTAGTGAATACTGATATTTTCTTTTTTAAAAATGAAGTATTTGGTAAGTGTTGCTATGTGCCAAGTGATTACACGAACATTTTTCCTTCTCCCTCCTTCCACCTTTAGCCTTTTTTTTTTTGTATGTATGTGCCAGTCCTAGGGCTTAAACTTAGGGCCTGGGCACTGTCTCTGAGCGCTTTTGCTCAAGGCTAGCTAGCACTCTACTACTTGAGCCACAGCTCCACTTCTGGCTTTTTCTGGTTAATTGGAAAAAAGAACCTCTCAGACTTTTCCTACCCAGACTGGTATCTCAGTCTCCTGAGTAGGTTGGATTATGAGTTGAGCCACCAGAGCCTGACCACCCTTAGCTTTTTTTAGTGACAAGTTAATGTAAATTTTCTGCAAAAGAAAGAATCCAAGTCAAGGCAAGCATTATAAATACAATAAGCATTTCACAGTAAACTTACCCAGCTTTCCCTGCTTATTATCAGAGTTGTGGCAACAAGGACGAAAATGAGTATCTTCTCCATATTCTTCAGAAAGAGCTGCAAGCAACAAAAATGAGTTCCTAAACATAATCAACTTTGAATTTTTCTGTGAGACCAGAGTTAGGTTCAGATTCAAGAAGTTTTAGGAGGTTAGATGAAGCTCCAAGTTAATCATCATCTGAAGACTACCGAGAAAATTCATCCAGATTTCCAGCCTTTACCATACAAAGTGTTGCGGGGGTAACCTCAATAGTACTGAGCTTTTAAGGACAAGGACACTACATATTAATACAGGGAACAATCCAAGAAGAGGATATCACCATTATCAATTTATACTCTCCAAACATTGGAGCATCCAAATACGTTAAGCAAATACTCTCAGACTTACATAAAAAAAAAATAGATCCAAATACAATAATACTAGGAGACTTTAATACTCCAGTCTCACCAAAGGATACCAGAGGATTAGCAAAGAAGCCTCTGAATTAGATAATATCCCAAATGGACTTAACAGACATCTACAGAGTTTTCCACCTAACAACAACCCAGTATACATTCTTCTTGGCAGCCCATGGAACTTTCTCCAAAGTAGAGCATATCATAGTTCATATGAACAATTTAACAAATACAAGAGGATCCACATAATCCCTTTTGTCCTATCTGACCATAGCAGAATCAAGATAAGTCCTCAATAACAAAACATACCATAGAAATTACTCAAATACATGGAAATTGAACAGCACACTTCTGAGCAACACCTGGGTCACAGAAGAAATTAAAGAAGAATTAAAAAGTTCCTACAATTCAATGAAAATAAATATACTTCACAAAGTAATCTATGGGACACTGCAAAAGCAGTCTGAAGGGCAAATTTATTGCTCTCAGTACTGAGCTTTTATAATTCCTCTAAAAGAATGTTAGGTTAACTTAGTTAGGTTAGGAGACAGTGACACTTAATCTAAGACACCTTATGGAATGGTTTGGCTCAGATGGGCGCTGGTGGCTCATGCTTATAATCATAGCTACTCAGGAGGCTGAGATCTGAGGATCATGGTTCAAAGCCAGCCCAGACAGGAAAATCCATGAGACTCTTAACTCCAATTAACCACCAGAAACCTGAAGTGGTGCTGTGGCTCAAGTGGTAGAGCATTAGACTTGAGCTGAAGAGCTGAGGGACAGTGGCCAGGTCCAAAGTTCAAGCCCCACAACTGACCAAAAAAAAAAAAAAGAAGTTTGGCTCAGCACCAAATGCTTTAGTAATGTTTTGGAGGAGAAAAAGAAATGTTGTTAAAATTGAAATAAATGACGATATAAGTTGAGTGTACACGAAACCATATATAAGTATAAACAACTAACTTTCCTAGAGAAGCTCTCAAGACAAAATTACATCCTCCATCTTGCCTCCATACTACATTTATAGATCAAAGTAGCCATTATTCATTCATTCAATAGACACTGTTGCATGTGCCTACTGTGTTCTAAGCACTGTACCAGGAGATGGAGTTACTGTTTGTTTGGTCAATGCTTTGCTTTGCTTCCCTTGGAATAAAATTTTTAAAGGAAAAATTCAGACCTTGTTAACTGTTTTGTGTCCCAGCATTTAACTCATTGTAATGGTTCTCATGAAAGTTTAGTTGTCTATGCATTAATGATCCCTCAGGAAGTAAAACCATTTCCAGAGGAAAAAATGTGATGTCTTTGCTATAGAACTAGTCTGTTGTTACTTCATACTTTCCTTCTGTATGGGAAAACAAGAGGCTAGGTGTAAGTTGGAAAATAAGTGTTAAGAATAAGTTAAGGCGGGCTGGGAAGGTGGCTCAGTGGTAGAGCGCTTGCCTTGCATTCATGAGGCCCTGGGTTCGATTCCTCAGCACCACATAAGCAAAAAGAAAAAAAACGGAATTGGCGCTGTGTCTCAAGTGGTAGAGTGCTAGCCTTGAGCTGAAGAGCTGAGGGACAGCGCCCAGGCCCAGAGTTCAGGCCCCACGACCGGACCCAAAAAAAAAAGAATGAGTTAAGGCTAGGTGCCAGTGGCATGTGCCTGTAATTCTAGCTACTCAGGAGGCTGAGATCTAAGGATCGTGGTTCAAAGCCAGCCTGGACAGAAAAGTCCATGAGACCTTTTATTTCCAATTAACCACCAAAAACTGGAAATGGCGCTGTGGCTCAAGTGGTAGAGTGCTCACCTTGAGCTGAAGAGCTGAGGGACAGCGCCCAGGCCCAGAGTTCAAGCCTCACGACCGACAAAAAAAAAAAAAAAAAGCCGGGCGCCGGTGGCTCACGCCTGTAATCCTAGCTACTCAGGAGGCTGAGATCTGAGGATCGCGGGTCAAAGCCAGCCCGGGCAGGAGAGACCGTGAGACTCCTATCTCCAATAAACCACCAGAAAACCGGAAGTGGCGCTGTAGCTCAAGTGGTAGAGCGCTCGCTTTGAGCTGAAGAGCTGAGGGACAGCGCCCAGGCCCAGAGTTCAAGCCCTACAACCACCAAAAAAAAAAAAAAAAAGAATAAGTAAAAATGTCAGACACCAGGCTGGGAAGGTGGCTCAGTGGTAGAGCACTTGCCTTGTATGCTCGAAGCCCTGGGTTCGATTCCTCAGCACCACATAAGAAAAAAGCCGGAAGTGGCACTGTGGCTCAAGTGGTAGAGCGCTAGCCTTGAGCTGAAGAGTTGAGGGACAGCACCCAGGCCCAGAGTTTAGGCCCCACGACCGGACCCAAAAAAAAAAAATGTCAGACACCAGTGGCTCACGCCTGTAATCCTAGCTACTCAAGAGGCTGAGATATGAGGAGCACAGTTTGAAGCCAACGCTGGCAGAAAAGTCTCCATGAGACTCTTATTTCCAATTAACCACTCAAAAACTGGAAGTGGTGTTTCGGCTCAAGCGGTAGAGCGCTAGCCTTGAGCATGAAGAGGCTCAGGGAGTGCACCCATGCCCTGAGTTCAAGCCCCATAACCGACAAAAAAAGAATAAGTTTAAAAGATTGGAGACATGGTTCAAGTGGTAGAGTGTTTGCAAAGCAAGCAAGCTGAGTGAGTGTGAGGTCCTATTCTGTTCCCCTCAAATAAAGTTAAGGACTTCCAATCTAATTGGAACATGAGCTTCTTTCTTTTCTTTTCTTTCCTTCCTTCCTTCCTTCTCTCTCTCTCCTTTCCTTCCTTCCTTTCTTTCTTTCCTTCTTTCTTTCTTCCTTCCTTCCTTTCTTTCTCTTCCTTTCTTCCTTCTTTTCTTACACATTAAGCCCTAGTTTAAAAAAAAAGAAGAAAGGAAAACTGGGAATTTGTGACTTGACCAAGTTTAAATGGAAGAGAAAGGCAAAGACACTGGGTGGACAATATTAATATTGTTGATCGATGACAAAAAGCACACGGGCTGAAAAAGCAGTACAGGACAAGATGTAAACTAGCACCCCAGCCCTGGGACAGGACTGGAGGCACCAGCTGGTGTAAAAGGGCAAAAGATTGACCCCCAGATCCCCATTTAAATCTTGAGCAGGTGAACACTGCTTCTCCCAAGCCTTCGGCATTCAGAAGGGTGACTATCGAGAGTGAAGCAGAGAGGTTCAGGTGTTGTAACAGCCAGAACCCTGGAGGGCAAAAGAAAGACTGAGGTTGGGAGAAGGCAAAGCTTGAAGACATCTCCACTCATAACCCCTTGGCCAGCTATTTCCATCACTGATCAGGCAGCCAGCACAGACGCCTTTCCTGAGAGCTGAATAGCCTCCTGGAAAAGAGCTGTCTGGAGTAACATCAGAGGATTCTCTAATGAAATGAGGATGCCCTTGACTGGTCTTTCTCTAAAGAAGCTCACTGCTTGGCAAGCCTCATTTATTCCTTCAGGAAAGCTATGCATAATAGCTTGTCCATTTCAAAGAAGGTCTTCTTTCAGAAGAAATACACATTTTAAGTTTTATTCTGTATTTTTACTTAAACCACTCAAACAGAAACACCAAATGTCTTGGCACAAATCCATATAATAGGAATTTACCATGAAAACATGTATTTTTATTATAACTTAACTCTTTCATCTATCAGTGTTAACATAATCAAAAGTATATAGAAAGAGTTGAAATGTTGAAGAAATTACACAACTAAATGCACAAAGAAATTAGACAAAAATACAAGAGCATAATTATTCATTGTAGAAAAGAAAACCTCTAATAAGTATGTGAAGAAATCTTTTTTTCAGTAAATCATCCTTTTGTACTTTTATACCATGTTGTTTAGAGCAACAATTTAGGAGAACTCTGGAATTTCACTTTCTTCTTATCTTTGTAATAATTTCTTAAATTCAATCACAGATTGAGTATCTACTTTATGCCAGGTGCTAAGTATACTAGGTGTTTTTATATATAACTTATTACATATACTATTTGAATTCAAATACTAACTTTCATTAAAGTATACAAAAAACTGTCACCCTGTTTTCCAATATGAGACCCTTCTGTGTATTTTTGTAGAGGGTAGATGTAAGAGAGACAATTGTAAACAATTGACAAAGAATTAAGAACAAAAGGCAAATAGGTTTACTGCTAATTGATTTTTTTATTTTAATGCCAATACTTGAACTTAAGGCCTGAGTACTCTACCTTAACTTTTTTTGTTCAAGCTGACACTCAAGTTGAAGCTTGAGCCACAGCTCCATTTCTGGCTTTTTAGTGGTTAATTGGACATAAGAGTCTCACAGGCTTTCCTGCTCAAGCTGGCTTCAAATCACAATCCTTAGATCTCAGCCTCCTGAGTAGCTAGAATTACTAGCATGAGCCACTGACATCCAGGTGATATTTTCGAATTAATAAAGTAATCTGATAATTTTTAAGGAAAAGATTCTAGGCAGCGTTTATTATTATCATAAAAGCTAAATTCATTTAATATATTGATGTTTCTAGACTTTGCTTTAATGACTTTAATACTTTAAAGTTATTTTTATTTATTCTATCAAATTCTGTTTTGTATTTACAGAGTCAAACACTTTATCCCAAATGTAAAGTGCTTTATAATACTTTTTAATCCATATTTTGACCTAGGCTCTTAGATAAGCG